AAGTCCAAACTGGAAGAGAGGTTTGATGAGGGTTTTTCCTCACCGTCAGAAGTTGAAGCTCGTGTGACTTCACGGTTAGCACATTGCCAGCATATCAGCTAACACACAACAAGGTAGAGAACCCAACTTTAGAGGCAGCTGGAGTTTTCTTATACTTTAATCGCTACAGTATGGCTTAAATAAACCATCCTTTGTTTTGAATAGACTACAGTTTGGCTAACATAGCAAACCAGGCGCTCTCACTTCAATGCAGACATTGTCCCTGCTTCTTCTGCAACTGGGGGCCATTTCAGCAGCCTTCCACATCAGGGAGAGGCCCTCACCACCAGCTACAACTGTTGGGGGTTTTTCCCCTTAAGCAATTCATTCATGAAAAGATATCTTCCCCTTTTTGATTATGTCTCGAACCCTGGCCTGGGCTTTTGGGGAACTCCTTTCCAGGAACTGGCAGGCTTGTTAACACTGAGGCATTGAGAAACCATCACATCCTTTACAGAAAAAATCAAACTCTTTTCCTTTTCATTTTTTTAACTTTGCATTGTGCTAAGCATCTTCAGCAGTCATGATTTTCCTGTCCATGTCCCCTGTTATACCATATTTAAAAGATATATTGACAGAAAAAGATGCTTTTTTGCTTCATTACAATGGGGCTGACTAAACAAGATTCTTGGAATGATTTTTCACAACTGTACACCTCTCTGACACAGAAGAGCCATTATAGTAAATATTTTTAATTTTACATAATGTCATTTGAAGCACTACGGTTGATGTTGGAACAGCCCCGTATCAGTAACATACGCAGCAGCACCACAGCTTCAGTAATGCTGTGGCATCACCAGTCCTGCAGTCTACAGGCCAGCTCACCTTATAAAATGCTTGGCAATTTTCTGAAATGATTCAGTTGCTATAAAACTGTAGCGAGAGCTAATCTCCTACAGCAACTCATCTGTTGCAGAGAAGAAGCTGACTTTCTCCCTATCATGTTGTGCCATGTCACATAACCTTTGTTTTCTTCCTTCCCCCCCTCTCCCTTTGCAGCTTAATGTCATCTTCCTTGGGATCGCTCTCTATAAAATGTTTCATCATACTGCCATACTGAAACCCGAATCTGGATGTCTTGACAATATCAAGTAAGTGCTTGGGGTTTTTTCTTTCTCTCTGCCCATTTCTGTCTTTTGCTGTTTATGCCCCCATTCCTCTCTGAGGAGTGTACAGGGAAACCAACTCTGCTGGCTGCAGTGATAACCAGGGGCTATATATTGGGTTATGGCACTGCAGAGTGGTTTCTAATAGGTATTAACAAGTGGCTGATAATGAAGCACTGTCTTGATTGGGATTTGGCTGCATTTTCCATTCAATTTTGCATGAAAGAAGCAAAGTTGCATTTGCTGTCCTTGAAGCAGGTAACCTCCTAGTCCCTCTATGTGAAAGGAAATAATGCCTGATAATTGCCAGCTAATTATTGCAGTCTCTACAGGGAAGGTGTTAAAATTGTTGATCAACAATTGATGATTGTTGATTAGTGTTTCTCTGTGTTCTGAGGGTGGCAGCCTTACTTCTTTTCTGTTTGTTTTGGCCCCCTGACAGATTTAATGACCCAAATTCTCCCCAGAATCTGATTATTTTCTGCAAAGTTACCGGGTGTTTACCTGGGGGTGCCCACATCAGGGGATGTGCTTGCCATCCAAGGCAAGGTTTGCCCTTGGACTTAGTTAATGTCTGAGCCTGGGCATCTTACTGTCTAGCAAGCTGCTTCATTATATTGATAGGATATTAGTCTCCATCAGTGCCTGTTTATTCAAGTATCTCTGGCTTTAATTACTCGCTTGAAAAATACAAGTGGAATTTCAGGTGCAGTGCATGATAAGATGGGGAGCCTGCTAATTAATAAAACCATCTAATGAAGTTCAGGAGGAGGAAATTGTTGGGAGTCAGTGCTTTGCTGCCTACCTAGGAAAGGAGAGCATTGTGTGACATGGCTGGAAGTTGGTTCTCCCCTCTCTTCTGTGGTGGGGATGGGAGAAGAGGTGTGAGGGGAGCTCATTAGGAGATGACTGAATTGCACCGTTGCGAGGCAGTTCTCAGCAAGGTGATTGTTCTTACTGCTGAGCCACTCTTACAGATGCAGCTTTAATTTAGACTAGATGTGTCCCCCCTTAAAACTTCCCCAGCAAGCAAGGCTTGCAATGCTGCTGGTGTGCCACGACCTGGCATGGTCCTTTGGGTGAAGTTTTAGTTTCTTAGGCGCAGCTTCTTCTTCAAGGGTTGGGAGGAAAAGGCGACCAGAGCCCATACAAGTGCAGGAGATCCCAGTGAACTGGGGGACCCACAAGGTGCTCGTTCTGTGTCTGTCCCTGCCCAGGTTGTGGGCAGGCTGCCCTGCATTGTGCCTCTGTTTCTTGTGTCATCGCTCAGCTGTAAGATGAAATTGGAGGAGCAGTCCCTCATGGATGGCCAGGACTGACCACAGCATGATAGTGTTTCATTTGGTCTTGGATGAGGTGTTTAAGGAGTGGTACATTTAGTAACACTTACTAATATGACTACTCATCATGCATTAGTGCTATGGGATTGCTCGCTGAGAACAGTCTTTCTAAGGTTACCCACACAAAATCTGTCTAGAAAGCCTTGCAGTATGACATTTAAATTAAAAACTGGGGAAGAAAAAAAAACCAACAAAGCCCTTATAATTAAAGCAGAAATAATAATTGCCTACTGAATAATCTTGCTTGTGCTAATCTCTAGTATCTTTGTTTAAAAGGCCAGGAATTTATACAATCAGTTACATCAATTATAATGACATTGTAAAATATTTTATAGGTTCTTTGACAGATGAGTGTCTATTCCTGATTTGACTTCATTAAGACGTTTTGAAAACACAAGCAATTAAAGTAGTTTTAAGTATGTTGCTGATACCCTTCCAAGCATGTTGCTTCATTACAAATGATTTTTTTGTGCTTGAAAAAATAAGAGAAACATAATATAAATTCGGGAAGACCCCAAGCTCACCCTAGGAAGTTTATCAAAACAAGAATTTCAGAAGGAACTTGATTATAATTTCTGAATACCTAAGCAGGACAAAGTTAAGTCTCTAAATCCGTGGCATGTGTTGTCTCAATACCAGATATACTTGACTTAGGAGAAGGCGCAGATTTTTAACAGAGAGGGAATTCACCTTTGAGGGAGCTTTCCTAGGAATGTGAGGGGCTTGCAATCTCTGGAAAACTTTTAGGTAACATCATAGTCATCTTCTAGGTAAAATCATAGTCGTCTTCTGGTTAAGATTGTGGTCATCTTCCAAAGTCATTGGCTCTAACTCATTGCATAATGTGGATGTGGTACAGCAGCTCTGGCATAAAAAGCCACAGATCATATTATTTCACAGGTGACCAGGAAGATCCTTTCTGAGCTTACCTCCGTGGGTCTATATGGTTGGTGAAAAGACACCCAGATCTATTTCTCAAGATACACGCTGCCTTTACTAGCTCTCAGCATGGTTTTGCATCCTATCTTATCTGTTTATACTTAAAATCCCAAGCCAAACCGAGGGCCTGCATCAGAGGGCCCCTTGCTGCCATCTGCGTGTGACAGCTTTACAGCACACAGGGAGCTGAATGGAAGTTTGTTCTCCCAGTTCATTTCCTAGCACTGCTCTGTGTTAGGCTGTGGTGAAGCTCTCACAGCATAAATCCTGAGCCTGTTCAACAACAGCAAAATACTTGATTCCCTATGGCAACATAAAAATAAAGGCCATAAAATATTTTAATAGGCTGTTAATAAGCGCCCCTGCAATCTGGTGCTTGCCTCTGTCACTTTAAAGGTTAGAAATACATTATGAAGTATAGAAAATAGAGAGCCAAATAACTCCACTTAAATTAATGAACTTGATAAGGGATCAGGTGTCACCTGGGATACCTTTAATTACTGCACCAACAGAAAAGCCATTCAAAGGGCAGTGCCTGAACCAGATGCTGTGTGGCTGCAAGATTTGTAGGCACTGTGCAAAGTAAATAAACTTCCCTAACCTTCAGGAACAGTCCCTGTATTATTGTGCCAGCATGGGAGAATCTGACATTCCAGTGGTGGAGCACTGTTTACCCAGCAAGAGATTTGATGAGTACAGATCTAGTTTATTTTTTATCCATGTTAGCTTTTCCAGCTTAGCCCAGCACTTTCAAGAGGGAAGTAGGGTAGCCACATATGTTGGTCCTTCCCCCTGTGCCAAGTGCATCCTTCCTGAATGGCACCTTGGTACCGAGCTGATTCAGTGGGTTGCACCCACTGAGAGGTTCCTGCTCTAGTCCTGCTTTTGAGGCATGTAGCCGAAGATGTGAGCTCATGTACGTGGGATGTGCTGTCCAGAGCTGCAAGAGTTTCTGTGCCTACCACTGATGCAAGTAAGGCAGACTAGCTCCCATTTCAGAACAGGTACCATCACCAATAGTAACACACTTTTACCTAGGACCTTTTGAAATAGTTGAATTTTACTTCTTCCTTCAGTATGTTTAAACAGAAATTTTATGGGTTCACCCTGGGAGGGGATCTCTTCTTTTTAAAGACCTCTTTAGTATGAAGCGACACAGACAAGGACACCAAAACATCTGCCTCTTGGGTAGTGCGCGTAGCATCTGCCCATGCCTTCCCAGATGCCTGCAGGAGGGGATTTTCCTTCCTATCTTTTTCCAGTGGCTGCTTCCAGGTGCTTGAGGTCCACTGTGGCCATTGCTCTTTCATCTCTTTGCAGCTTGTCAGCAAACATAGGTGAGCAGAAGTGGGCAGTGAGGAGAATCATTTAGTCTTTGGTAGCTCTGCCCACATCACTTGTATCTCGTTTGTGGCCCATCTTGAGAGAATAAGTGGGATGCAAAGGGTGCATGAATTGCTCATGAGCACAAACTGATTCACTGTCAACAAATGCACCCAGGAAGGTGTTGGTTTGGAGAACTGATTCCCTCAGCCTTTACAAGCTTGCAGGGAAGGCAAATCTTACAAGCCAGGGACCACACGAGCTTTTTGGATGGCAAAAGCCTGCTGTGCTGCTTGCATCTATAGCCTGCAAGGTGGAGACTATAAGCGTATCAGTGTGGTATTGATGCATTCTTGCTAGCAGATGGCTCCTCATGAGGATGTGTTACCAGCTGGAATACGTTAGAGCAGCTGTGAGGCTGTTTTACCGGAGGTTGCTGCCGTGTGGAGTGATTTCTGGAGTCAAGCTGCTCAAAGTCTCTCCTTCTCACTTTTCCATTGTGCCGGGTAGATGTTAGATGTGTGAAATGTCTCAGACTGTCATAGACAGGAGTACACTGAATCTTTTTTATATTCACATTCCTGTAGGAAGCCTTATGTGACAAAGGAAAATACATCTATATGTGAATAGTCTGGCACAGCTCTTCAGTTTTCCATCCATCAACTCCTTTCCAGGTGGTCAGGCATGTACCATGGCTGCTTGTGGTCCTCGCACACCAGGTTTTCATCTGACCCGTGCCAGATGCTGCAGCATGACAAACCATCCATGTGTTTCCGGATGCTTAACCCCCATTCTCTGTTCAAAACAGAGGGTTTCAGATGAACCCCCTCCCCAAATGCCTTTGCATTGTATGTCAGTACAGTGCTTGTTTTGCAGCCATTTAAATACTGCTCATTCAAGTCACTGTGGAGTTACTAAAGGGAAAAGAAGAAGGGCTACACTGATGGTAATCCAGATGTGCTCTTCACCATATCTGCCGAAACCTGAGGTCCTGTATTTGCTATATGCTGTTATTGTGCACAATGTGAGGCACGTTAGTTACTGACATGGAAAACTGGTAGAAAATTGGGTGGGGAGAGCAGTTATTTAGTTAACAAAAGGCAGATCTTATAAGCAGATTGAAAGGATTCATCCATGGGGCCGAGCAGCTGCCGTGCGTGAAGTTACGCAGGGCATCTCCAAATGGCCAGGGTGGAGAGCGTGAAACCTCCTTTCTGCTAGCAGAGACCAGAAGCCATCCTTTCCCTTCCTTACAGACATAACCTTTCCTTTGAAGTTCTCACGGGCGCCTGTCCCCTCTCCCCCCGGTGCTGCCTGGCTGCGGTTGGGTTTGTTAGCATTTCCCCCAGCCAGACCAGACTTCCTGACATTCTTCTGTGCTGC